ATAGGCTCAGGATCACTAACAAATAAATGTTAGAGACTTCAGAACCAAGCAGTAATACTAATCACTGGTACCTACCAGTGCAGTCCAATCAAGGCACTAGAAGTTGAAGCAGCCATCCTGCCAACAAAAGTCAGAATGATGAAGCATGCATTTAACTATGTCCTCCGACTATTACACCTTCAGAATACACACCTGAACAGTAACTGCTATTTCAGCCATTGAAGGATGAGTTGAATACGCATCCAGAACTTGACCTCGGAATATTTGACCAGTTAGATATGCCAACAACTCAACTAATAAGGATAGGTATCTATCTCAAATTGTTTGCCAAGTATCAAAAGTTGGAAGAAATCAATACAACCTGGATGGCACCCTGGGACACACCACCACTGGTCATAAACATCCCATCCATGAATAAGACTTCAGCTTATGATCAACATTTAAAAGTCATGCAGACCATTGATCAAGACATAGCAATTGCTTACATAGATGGGTCACTTTCAAAGACTAACGTGAGCAGCATTGGTTTTGTCATTTATTTGCCTTACACTCGAGAGATAAAAAGTTATTCCTTCAATCTTGGAAGCTCCATTGAAATCACTGACACAGAAACCTACTGCATATACAAAGCTGTTCAGTTCCTTGAGAAGAAGCTGCCAAATGCAAGATAACAAATTTTCAGTGACAGCCAAGCAAGCCTTCAGAGAATACAGGGGAAGACAAATTATTTATCACACCAAATTCGAAACCTAGTAAAAGACTGTAATCTAAGCATCACCTGGTGCCCTGCTCATATGGGGATTGAGGGAAATGAGCTTGCTGACTCCCTTGCAAGAGGAGCAGTAAAAAAGACAGATTTAAGAAGTGACAAATCTACATCCCATTCTTTTCTGAAGATGAAAGTAACTGAATATATTTTAAATGCTTGGCATAATAACTGGCAAACTGAAGTTCTGCGAGAAGAGGAAGGTAGAAGGTCTAGGGGGCTTGGAAAGTTCTACAGAGTCCAAGCCCAGATGCATATACCAACTTTTTCCTTACAACCATTTCACTTTCAGAACCACAGCAAGATGGTTGAATCAGCATTTTTCCAGGCAAGAACTGGGATTGGAAATACTAGAGCTTACCTAAGTAGAATTTGGAAAGTTAAGGATCAAAGCTGCAATCTTTGCAAGGCTAAAAAGCAGACCACAAAACATTTAATTCTTCATTGTACCAGATTTTGCAAGCAGATGGAATTGGCATTTGTTGACATAAAGCCTCTTTCATTACAGATTTTATTAAGAACCAAAAGGGGGAAGGAAGCCCTTCTAGAATTTTTGAAAACATCCAGCTGTATGTCAGCATACAAAGGAGATGAAATAGGTACATAAATAATGGACATAAAGATGAATTGAGAGGTAATTGAGAGGTGATAGGGGCGTTAGCTGGTGTCATTCTACAATGTAAAATTAATTGAATATTTAATTGTCATAGCTAGATAGCTGAACACAATATGATTCAAAAAAAAAATATCTCTTCGACCTTCTCTGGCCTCAGCTCGCCACCAAATACACGCCCACGCCGATATTTACACCCGATGGAGAAATCACAGCATGGCACACAAATCCAGGAGATAGTTCTTTGGAATGGACGTGAGAGGGATTAGGACAAGATGACAAGATGACAAGACGATGCAAAGGAAGGATACATTCTCGACGGGCTTGAAATTTCGAATTTTGGCAAGAGTTTTACGAATTGAGCTTTGTGCGCGCCAAGACTTCGCTTGCGAGAGTGCAGCTGACACTATTAAAACAAGCCAACGACGGAAGGTGTCGTGGTCCGCCTCCTGGTGGTGTTCTCTGGTATAGTTTGAGTAGCCTGGACACCTACTCCACTTGGGAAGGAAACACCTAAGACCATATTTTGCGCCGAGGAAAGTTGAAAGATGATGGAGGCATGTCTGGATAACTCAGGGTTTTTGAGACGTTCCCCTGGGTGGGTATTCACGGATGAGGGTTGACTTGGGGTGAAGAAAAAGCCGCCATAACTTCGCAGTGGTACTTGCAAATGAAATCCGAGGCATGAGTGCTCTTCCTTTACGTTGAATCATCTATTCTGTACTTTTCTTTGATATTGTGTCATAGCTAGATAGCTGCATACGCAATTAAAATCTGATGCAAAAAAAAAGCCCTGGACGGCACAAAAGAAGTTGGGCTAAGCTACCACACAGTTATCACGCTCTGTCAAAAGTTTTCTGAGATTTCAGGACGACCTTCGGAAAGGAGGCTAGAAAGGCATGGTGTGGATTTCCGAGCTACCCACAAATCTGCAGCGCCCAGCTGGCCGGCCTCTTCCAACGCTTTGGAAGGATCACTATGTCTTCGGATTTGGTCCTAATGGTGGTATTAGAAGAGCCCCGCACCCAGTGATTTTTGCGATTTTTTCCGGCTGCCATACACCCGCAAATAGCCATCGTTTCGTTGGCCGTAGCGGGGAGATAATGAAGGGCACCTCTAAGTGTATGATCGAATGAGGACTTGTGAGGGGCGGTACTGTTTGAGGGGAGCTGTATGGGAAGTATAGGAGGGGATAAACTACTGGCAAAGGTATCTTTGGCCAGTAGGCAGAGAGGACCTGCATGTCCAACTTAGACATAGGCTCAGAAGAGGGACTTTTCTCAACACCTGTCAGTGGTGTCCCCTACGAACCTTCAGCTCTCACTGTAGAGTCTGCAGAATCGACTTTAAGTAACACTTTCAGACAAACTTCGATGAGGATTCCCAATCGCTCACGCGGTCTGTATCGTCTTCATCTATCAACACATTTCCCTATCACCATTATCATGAATTTAACCACGATCAGATCAAATGTTAGGGTCGGAGCCCTACTCATCACTAACCCTTAATCATGGAGGAAAAGCCATCCGATGAGTTTCCGGAGCGTACTCAGTACCTGATACAGCGACGGTGGATTGGATCAAGTCGGCCTCGACTGTTAAAAAGAAGGGAGATGTAGATGAATATGCGCACCTCATGTGGTCCCGGTGTCTAGACCTCACCTTGCTTGGGCTGCAGGATTTTTGAGACTTTTTCCCGCGCACGCAGTTTCCATTGCTACCATTGCTACCATTGCTACCATTGCCATCATTTCTATCTTTTATCGTTAGAAGGTTCCGTAGAAAAGGTAGCTGAAATCCACGGGTAAACACTGAGCTGAATGGCCATTCATCAAGAGCAACATATCAAAGATCTATCGGGCAAAAAGGAGGGCAGGAGCACACTAAAAAGTGTGAACTGGGCCAGAGAGGAACCCAATATGCTAGGTATTCTATGACTAAAGTAGCACAATAAACACAAACACGCATGTAGGCTCAGAAAGGACAATAATATGAGTAAATAAAAAAAATAGGCAGTATCCGAACTTCATACTCTTGCTTCATCGTGTTGTCGTAGCCTTTCACAGCTGTACAAAAGAAAGAAGCTTGAACGGGCCACGTGAACTGTGCAACAACAAATGATCCGATACCACTTTGTCCCCGATACTATGCTATACTCAGCAATAGTTTTTTCTCACAGGGAACAACCTATGTAATCTTTTATTGCAGTGCATGCGGACACGCAGACATCGTGTGGTAAGTAGCCCGATGTGGTGATTGCACTTTTGCTCACTAGACTTAGGATTGTCCAAGAACAGGATTCTTGCGTGAACTGTGGCGTGGAGCACAGTTCATGACAATAGACAGAGATCTGATCGTTTAAGGTCTACAAGGGGATTATTTAGAAAGCCCGATTCAAGTTCCGGAACGAACGGCAGAAAGTTTAGGGTCGTCTAGACGATTGCAACTTAAACTTGAACTATGGCCGCTAAAGAGCATGGTTTCAATCTGGCTGCCTGCAATAAAGCTAAGCCACCCAAGAGGGATCTGGGCCGATAAAGAAACATGGTTGCAGATTTAACGGTAAGACTCAATACATTAAGAGCTGTGATGTCGACAGTTCAAGTGATCCCAGTAACGAGGATAATGGAAATGGTGGTTAGAAGATTGTTCTTGACTTCGCCAGTGAAGAATCTTTAGTATAATAAAAGTTTAAACTTCGCTTTGACAGATGTTAATGGAACAAAGGAATATTCTCGATATATAGCTAGTTTGCGCTACCTTTGAGAATTGAGTGATTTCAGGCTTGAAAGACTTTTCCCCTCTTACTGCGCTTTTTAATCTTCGTGGTCCTGTAATTGGGATACTGAATATTAAGTTAAATAAGAATCAAATTAATTCAAACCCAGTAGTTTAAAACAATTTTACTTCCTGTCTATATCCCAGAAGAGAGTATGAATATGGAACGTAGGGTAAACTTAATATTTCTCATAAAGATGGAGCGTCTTTAATGACAGTGAAATGACTTTAAGTAATAATCATCAAATAAGCTTGTGAGACGTAAATTGATCTTTTCATATTATAGTAGCGCAACCCAAGTTTTTCATCCGAAAAATTGGAAGTGTTTTCCAAACCTCACAACGGGGGATAAATATTTAGGAAACCATTTGTTCAAGTATGACTAATTACTATTTCGTATATATCTCCATGATAACCACATTTAAGCACTAGCTAAAAATAGAGACTTGATCAGATGCGTGTAACGGAAAAGTAATTGATCCGTCCGGAGATTTTTACTCAACCAGCTGCACCTCTCACCTCTTCAACACTGCGAACAGTAGAATCTATGTAGAGCCTTCACGATTTTAACGCCTTTTCATATAAAATATACCGAAGAAACTTGTCGTAAGATAATACTGCAAATTGAACGAATATCTTTTATCATTTCACATTAGTACGAGCCACAGGTGTTTGTTTATTCCGGTGTATTTCATAGTAGACTCACAGCGCTTTGAAGTTCGCCTCTCCCTATTTTATTAGGTGACGGTACATCCCTATTTATTAGGAGATATAAAGAGCAGGTTATCGAGTTCTTGAGTATTATTCATCTACCGAAAGCTCGAGATTTTCATCTGAAGAAAATCTACAGTTTATTAGGCGCAGTCTGAGTCGTGGGCCATTGGTATCCAGCTGTATCAGCAAACTTGTAACCGTATGATGAAGTAAAATCATCAAGAACTGCAGGGCCTCGCGATCCTGATAGTGATATTAGCATGTTAAATAAGTAAAAAGGCTTTGACTGACCATATGGATACTCCATGGGAACAATCTCTTTATTATCATCAAGATAATGAAGGAGCGGTGTGAATATTCTCCAGCTAGCGTCTAGCTCATCATCACGAACAAAATTTGAGTGATCTCCCTTTGTGGCATCCAGTATAAGCGATTCGTAGGCCTCGGGTATTTTTAAATCAGAAAACCGCCGACGATAAGTCAAGTCAAGTTCTGTCACAACGGTCTGCATGCTCAACCCAGGAAGTTTTGAATTCATTTTAATGTAGACGCTCTCGTTTGGCTGAATCCGCATGACAAGCTCATTTCGGGGAATATCTTTAAAGATACCAGATGTGACATCCTTAAACTGTATGCGAATTTCGGTTTTCTGTTCATTCAAAGCTTTTCCGGCTTTAAGTATAAATGGAACTCCATCCCATCGCTCGTTTTTGATAAACGCCACCATGGCACAAAATGTTGGACATCGAGAGTTTTTTGGAACAGTGTCGTCCTCTTTGTATGATGGTTTGGTCCGATCAAGAGATTTACCATATTGACCAATTATTACGTTTTTGGGCTCGATAGCAGGAATCCCACGCAAGACCCGTACTTTTTCATCACGAACATCTTCTGCGGAAAAGGAGATTGGTCTTTCCATGGCGAGTAGAGTTAGAACCTGAAGTAGATGATTCTGCATAACATCTCTAATGATTCCGAACTCGTCGAAATAGCCTCCCCGGCCTTCGGTGCCAAATGGTTCCTTGAATGTTATCTGGACGTTATCTATGTGATTTCGGTTCCACGTAGCTCCAAAAAATTCGTTACCAAATCTGAGAATTAAAATGTTCTTAACCATCTCTTTTCCAAGATAGTGATCGATGCGGAAAATTTCGTCTTCTTTCCAGTTGGGCTCTAATGCTTTTTGGAGCTCTCTAGAACTTGCAAGATCTTTACCAAATGGCTTTTCGACCTGGTAGAAATTGTCAGTTTTCGTAGAGATATTCCGAGATATCACTCACGATGATCCTAGCGATTCCGTTCTCAGGATAGCAGTTTCTTTTTAGCTGCTGAGAGACAGATGTAAAAACACTTGGCGGTAAAGCCATATAGAAAACTCGATTGGACTCTTCTCTGTCCTCTTCAAGATCCTCAAGATGATCTCGTAAACGCATGAAAGATTCATCGCTATCATATTGGCCTGAGACGTAGGAGCAGAGACTGCAGAATTCTTCCAGCTGTTGTTCTAGCTCTTTAGTTGGTGTCTTAATGTAGGACTTGACTCGTTTCAGAAACTCTTCGTGGTCCATCTTAGTTCGAGCGTATCCAACAATTTGTATATCATTTGGGAGGAACTGGTTTCGATACTGCATAGGGTTAGAAGAACCATAAATTTTGGCAAAACACATCACTCACAAGGCCAAAAAGAGCTGGAAACTATTAAACTAGGTTAGTTAAGAACGATTTAGGCTTACACTTATCTTACGGTCTTTTTCTTCGCTAAATCACCGGATGCCCCAAGTACTACAATTATGGTATTTTCTTTAAGTCTATCGGGCCGTCAGATGAGATTATAACCTTTAAGCAATATTTAATGGGTGTGTACTCAATAGATCTAAAATTATACGAGCTAGGTTAGCCATGAACGCTGTGGTAACTTTTAGAAGCATAAAAATGACACGCCTGTCATAGGCTATGAGGAGTGAATACACGCCCGTCATAAGCGGGTAGGGTATTTTAAAAGCTCCTTAGAGCATAGATTTATAGGAAAAAATAGTAAGGATACTCACCCGCCATGGCTGCCAGCAGGTCTTAGCAAAGACTCAGACATTTCTTTGGGGCAGATTCGAGATTTACTTGATTTGTAGAAAGGCTGAGAAGTTAGTTTGTGGAAATAAAAGAACTTATAATGATAGTTTAAATTGGCAGCTGCTTATACCTCGATGCGATAGGGAATAGACACGTTAAATGACTGAATGTGTAAATAGGATATCTCAGAGGGTGGATAGACGGAGGCTCGCTTAAAGAGGGAGGAGCTTGGAAACGCATACAGTTCGGAGTTTTCGTTTCCTAACCCCTCGGTCGTGTCATGGTTACTAACAACCCAAACACTTGGGTTCCGTCAGCGACATGTAGTCAGCAAAAAGTCCGAATCGCGTCTTTAAGGAATGGTGTAAATAAGAAGGCCAATGCGATAGGGTCAAAGCTGCTAGGGAGTACTCGTCGCGTTACAGATATTTCATTGCATCGCGTGGTAGCGGGATAGGAAGGAGGTAAATGGAACATATCAGGTGACAAAGTCTTGTTGCTTTTGTTGTTGTATGTTGGCATATTGTTGATGCAATAAGCGATAGCATGAAGTATTCCAGGAACACGCGATGATGGTTTTTCCGTTGTTTAAAAGCTAAGTGGCTAGCTAGAGAGAACGAGCTAGACACGGCCTATATTTTCGCTTTGAGGTCAATCCAGAATCCGGCTATTTCAAGCGGAGCACCAGTTAAAGTAACATTAATTGAAACTTGTTTCCATCGCGCGTCTCTTCACTGACGGGGTCCATCACATCAAAAAATAAAATATCGAACATTAAACTGTTATCATTAGTTTACTGATACGAAGTATCTGCTAGTGTATTACCTTGCGAAACTTATTACGAAATGCATCTCCGAATTCAAAATTTATGCAGAGATTGTGGGGCATGATTTGACTCTCTAATCTATGAATCATTCTATTTATACGATCGACCCTCATATCTAAACAGGACCAAACTACTCTCTCGAACACACCTAACCCACAATTAAGAATTGATAATTCATCTGCCCAGCAATCAAAACTGCCTTAACCTCACATAATAATTCCAACAGGCCACGGAAATAATATTTACAACGACTGTGATGGTCTGGATTTAGAAGTCTAAACACAAAAATTAATTAGGACGGAACTTTAGGACAGCATCAAAAGACGTAATAAATATCAGTTAGGATACAGTCTAAAATGCCGCGGATTTCTTTTATGAAGAAAAGTCTACAATCGTTGGGCATTAATTTGGTTGAAACTTTGTGTACGAAATCGCGGATGTTTCCTAAAGAATGAGTTTGGTTAGATAGCGTTTCAGTTCACAGTCAGGAAGATTCTGTCGAAAATGTGAAGAATTGCATAGACCCCCACCCTTCTCGATACGTGTTCGTCCCGATTCGACTTCTTTGATGGCAATTTTGGACGGTGTTTCTATTCGTGACGAGCACAAGACTAGTACTCCTAGAGCACGACACAGAGAAGACTAGTCCCTCCCTGACGACTACATACAAAGAAAACTCAGTTTGACATTTGGACCATTCATGTAGTAGGTGTATTCGCTGATACCAATCGAGACCTTTGTGCTAGAGTCTTTCACCCTTCCCTCTACCGTTAACATCCACCAAAGGATAAACAAAAAACCTCTGGCTGCCCTAACATCCCTTAATCAACTTGTATATAGCTACCGCGCGAGATAAAGACTCACGGTCCTCCCTTTCTCGAGTGAGATAGGTCTCCAGAACACTCAGGCTTTACTTCGGGAGACGGCGACCAGGAGGCGGACCAAAACACTGTCCATCATTTCCTACTTTTAGAGTGTCGGTAGCACTATCCAAAATCGTTGCCTCTACGCCCATAAACACCCGTAAGTCGAAAATATTCGAAAAATGTGCGTCCTAGTATGCCCATTTATGACCTCATCACTCGTTTGTCCCAAGTCTCGGCTGCCTATCCTCCCTCACTATTTGAAGCCCCATTAGAGCAACGGTCCCCCATTGACCAAGACCCGAGCTTTTTATGACATACCTTAATTTCCTCCTCGCGTGTGTACATAGTATCGTAGCTTTATAGAGGGAGATGGCCGATTTCGACGAGGCAAATTCCAAATCGCAATTGAATTAATGTTTTTATTGATAGTCGAGGCGAGGTGGTGTAGCAAGATTGAAGTAAAGGACTTGCGTGAGAGTGTTAGGTCCAACGTTTGTCGAGAAGTCGGCGATTTTAGATATGCTTGAGGCTGCATTCCACTTCAATTCAGATGCGATTCTTCTTGGCTATCCCAGATATGCAGAGCATACTGAGTGATTACACCGGCATCACTGAAAGGTGAAGAATTCGTCTTTACCGGCGATTTTTCTCGATTATATGATGGTTCTTCTTCTTGGATGCGGGCGTGCCTGCTGAAAATGCGACGCGGAGTATATTATGGTCATACGTTATGAAGTATAGTTGTGATACTTGAGGTGACGTGCTGGCAATAGCACGTGTGTGGGTCCGAAGAGACGCGATGAGTAACTCATACAACAAATGAAGAAAGGTAATATTAGAGTACGTGGGTATATGAATGCAGGTGTGTGGAATAGTCTTAATGACAGATGTGTGTGTGAGCTATGTGTGCTACTGACAACGTACTGGGGAAGAATAATGTATTCTGCACTACGGTGGTCGAGCCAGTCTCTCTCAGTGCTCTTTCCTCTCAATGTTGAGCTCAACATTAAATACCACCATGGTTGGATGGTGCGGCGGTACATCTACCTGGCCGGTCTGTCGAGTAGAGTCTGGATAGCTTGGACACATATCCCACTCGAAACAGTAGATCGCTGGTTCAAATCAAGCAAAGCACAACCACTTTTGTCGCGGCGCTGGTATACATAGATGACGAAGGCATGCTTGGATAACCAAAGGTTTTGAAACATCCCTTTGGTGGGTATGCACGGAAGAGATTATACGCCGTAAGGAATAACCTCGAGTGGTAATGAAAGAAACGTGAATGTTCCAAATGTCATATTGTGTCGTTCTACTTAAATTACTTATCTTCCGATAAATCCTGCATGGACCTGAAGGCGCCGAATCAGGATAGTGAATTATTTATTTATTTATACGAGTTGAGCCCCATGTACTTACTTCGTATTTGCATTGCTAGACTACTTTGGGCTCTTATCAGGTTTGGTAGAATTATTAATTTGAAATTTGGAACACTCACATTTCTTTCAATACCACTTGAGGTCAATTCTTACAGCATGTAACCTTTTCCGTGCGTATCCACCACTTGGAAAAGCGTGAAAACCCCATGATAGTCCTAGTCTACTGTTGTCATTAACACAAACGATATCACCACGAAATGATGGGGTGTATGGGTATTACTAAAACCGATCTAGCTTTCTCCTGACTCAAATGTGATGGATGATCGAGCTACCTAGAACTTACATAGGAGACAGTTGGTCTATTCTTTTTTATGCTACTTGGGCCTATGACTATCTAGCACATCGGGCTCCTCTCTGATCCAGGCTATAGCTTGTATAGTGCTCCTATCTTTCTTTACTTGAATAATCTTTGGTATACTTCCAAAATGGACAGCCATTCAGAATCTACTTTAGATAATGGCCTGGAAGGTGTACCACTAAACCATCCAGTCCAAATTCAGTAAAGGTACGCTTGCTGAAGGACAGATAGGAAAACCGAAGATAGTTAACAGAAGGGGTTTGGGGGTTTTCCACTAGAGACTCCCATGTAAAAATTAATGTTGACAGACGCCTACATGGGCCTGTAAGGCGCCAAAATAAGAAAAGAAAATGAAGACCAACGGATTCAGATCCCTCTGACCTCGCGCCATCGACCTCACTTCTCGACTTTGAAGGGATTCTACAACCGTGACCCTATCTTGGGGAACAGAACACACATCATACTGCTACAACACTTGACGCAACGAATGACAACCCAGTGACTTAGTTCAGAAAATCCATCTCAGGCACTGGGATGTACGAGTGCTTTACGCATCGCCGCCATGAAACAGCAACGATAGGATATTTCAGGAAAAATTATGATAGATAACGGCGCATTAATTGATCTGATGAGGTGCCTCGCAATGACCTCGAAGCGCTTTATCTTTCACACAACCACTAGATCAGTCACAGGTTAGATATATTGAAATCAAACACAAAAGTCCTTTAAGTTTTAGAATGTGATTCCTCTAGACGGGTAATACAGTAGTACTAGAAGTTGAATTGATAAAGTATAGGGTTCACAGAACGTGTAAATTACTCTCCTCTCTAGGCATTTTAGGAAATGCTGCAGCCGTGCTCCTACTAACATGTGTCTACCAACCTCGCCTACACGCTAATTTGAAACTACTAATACAGCGTACATAAGATATCCAAACGCTTTACCCATTTTACTCTTAGGTAAACACTGATCACAACCATAACTCCATTATCATAACTCCGTTACACCACACCTCCACGCGAATAAATAAATCTATCCACTCATCAATACCCGAGAAATCAAGCAGCACCATGGCTGCGCACAGCCAGCCGTCGTCCTCGGCATCAACTGACCCAGGAGACCTATTACACCCGAGCCTTCTTGGAATTGCCGCCGCAATGGATCAATTGGAACGCGAGCAAAAACAGCGAATGAGCGTAGCGCAAAATTTCCTACAAAATATCGATGCCTGGGCAAAGTCCTTGTCAGAAAATGAAGGCGCGCACTTAGTTGCGCCACTAATAGAAAATATTTCACCTATTGTAACAGCATTTGCGATAGGTAACGTCAACGCCGCAAGTCACCAAAACAAGAAATCATCCCATGAAAGTACTCAGATAAAAACCTCTGTACCCATGGCAACAAAAATAGCGGAGAAACCCCATCACGATCTCCCTCAAAAGCCAAGGGAAACTGCTTCTCCGTGGGTGACTATAGCCCGAAAAGCAGCCAAGCTCCCGGATCCGCCAGCCAGCCTGGTAAAGCGAAGGCCTGCTGTGCAGTCAAAACCAGCCGGACAAGAGCCTCAGAAAGAGGATAAATGACTCTTCGTGCGCA